TAACAAAGCATGTAATCAAAGTAAATGAGCATAATTACCAGCGAGCGCAAATATAGGGTTTCTGGATTCTTTTCACAGACATTTCATATGTGACCATTTTACCATATGTTTACATTAAAAAATAAGAATAAACTGTATTAGATTGGAAAGTAAAAGGGTATGCATTAAAAATTTATGCAGAAAGCATCCTGTAGCCATGATTACTATTATAACTCTTCATTCAAACCTAGTCTTTTCTCCCCAAATGTAAATACAACCAAGTCACAAAGCATGGCCAAGTACCAACCCGTTCCAAGGACAGCGGGGTCCCGTGCCATCAGACTTCACGGCCAGACTCGCATTTCTCTCTGCCAGGTAGGAACAAGAAACAGCTGGGTGCGATTCCATTTATTTAACGGTACTTCAGGTGAACTCCTCGGTTCTTTACACTCATGTTTCTAGTCCTAGTTATCCCGAGGGGTCAAACAGACTTCTTTAAGGCAACCACAGAGTTGTTCAACTTTTTCGATCGGTTACACTCCCAAACACATCCCGTCCCCATACGTGCAGCTACGCTGGGCAGGGGGGGCCGCTGTCACCCAGGGAGATGCTCGTCCCCGGCCAGCAAAGCAGATGCAGCAAGACCAGGAGGAGTTACACACGACTTACTTTATCTCCCACATCTGACAGAAGCAGGAGGCGTGACCCGTCGTAAGCATTACGAGTCAGGTTGTGTCACATCATGACCGCTTAACGGTACGGCCGGTGGCACAAGTCATGTCAGCAGTTAAATGACAGTAACAGAGTCACCTGTCAGGTCGTGGCTCCGGGAATCAAGCAACACACGCATATTGATGGCACGTAATAGTATGCGCACAGATACATCTTCATAAAGATAATATAAATCAAGCTCCTGTCCAGGACAGGCGCATGTCACAGCTGTAAAATGTGGAAGTTAATTCATTTAAATTAGATTTTAAACCAGACGGAACTGTAATCTGTCCCGAGGCATGTTAATACATCAGGTAACCGGATCCATCTTTCAAAAGGACCTCAGCTAGATCATTTTTTTCTGCATTGCTACCTCTGGAGTGAAAACAAGCCCCAAAATTGTATTTAAATTACATCTCTCCTTCCATTCGTAAGTGCAAATTAAGTTACGTATTTACAAAAAATAAGTCTTTCAAGAAACCAGCTATGCCACCTTAGCAGCAAATGACCTCATCTCTGATAACTTCATACTTATCAGGACTAATCCAAACTGGAAGTGCTCAACCAATTTTTTTTTTTTCCCAAGATAGTATTTTTTTCATTTCCTGATGAAACTGGCCGTGAATGTAAGTGCTTTAAGAAAACTAAGTAATTAGGCTCTTCTTCGACACATATGAATACAAGCACAAGCTAATTTACAAGTCTTTAGCTACATTGTCTTGAAGGAATTTTTTACACTACTCTGCTTTCAGAGCAAAGAAAATTACAGTCTTTGTTCTTGACTGTAGCACCCAAATTCAAGTGTTCAGTGACAGTCCTGGTATGGCTGCTGGAGGGGAGTACAGCTGGGATCCAGCCCTACTAACATGAAAGCTCCCCAAGAATTCAAGATATTTCTGCAGAAAAAAATGTCATTTGATTTTACATACCTCATACAAAAGCCCAGGTGTTCACAGTGTTTAGGCACAATGATATGCATAGACGTGGTACCTGTGCATGCAAATATCCCATTTCTGAGCATAACCGAAATAATTGCAGGAATGATGCAGGTATGCAACACTTCAAATACTTCTTGGTAATTTGTTTTCTGTGGTGTCTTATTTCAGTTGCTGCTGTTTTACTGTTGTGCGTTAGAGGGTCTTGGAACGGAGGAGAGAAAATGCCACAGAAGACAGATCTCAAAAAAAAAAAACCCAGGAAAAAAAAAAAAACAATTGTATGTTTTACAGTTGTAATACCAAAGTAGAAGACACCTGGCAGCAGACTTTGAAATCAATAGTGTTGAAACAAAAGATGACAAAATGCAGACTTTCATTATCTGGTTATTAACTACCAAGACAGACTGCCAGGGCATTTGGCAAACGCTTCACTTGCAGATGCTTTTACTCACAAGATATCGTGTCTTTAATGAGATGCCCTAGCTGGGGGTATAGGAATTACCTTCCCGAACGGCACCAAGAGCTCTCTCCTGTCTTTGGCAGGGGTCACCACCAGCTACTTCAGCATAAAGTTTAGAAACCCCGAAATAGGCAAGAATTGGGAGTAATCCTTCTTTCACGTCATGACTCACTTTGGACTCTGAAGGGCAGGAATTGACTGCAGTGCTCCCACGGGAGGCTGGGCATCCCTCCCAGCAGGATACCCAGGGCTCTTACAAACAGCAATAATTTTGGTATCTGTCTAAACAACCAATTCCCTTTTTTGCCTTACGCTGCATTCTCAGCCTCACGGACCCTGCAGGGCCACCAGCTCCTCGGTTCAATCGCACAGCTTAATTCAATCCCAAATTATCAAATAACTGCAATTACATCATGACATTTGAATCAGCGCGCTGTCCAACGAGCGGACGCGGGATTCACGTGCATGCCAGCAGACACAGCGCACGCCCGGCAGCAGCTGTCTAACAGCAGCCTTGCGAGCCTTCCCCTCTTATTTTATTTTACAATTTCAATCAGGTGCACTCATTCCGTAAAGGGCATTACTGAACTGCAACAGCTCTGCAGCAGATGACATCCCTCGGCCCCAGCGTGAACCATGGCCACTCCCTTTGGAGACCCCGTGGGGCTTTGGCCAGAAGGTGCTACAGCACAAGTGAGGACACAGAGTGTGAAGGCCACCAAACTGAAGCACAACCCCAGATCCATCTGCTCAGGATGAACACACGCTGCCCAGGGTTGTACCTGGAGCTCCTTCTCTCTCCCAGCAGTTCACGGTACAGCCCGCATCTCCTGCGCGGGACATCATGGCTTGGACTCTAATCTACCCTGATGTTGAGGGCAATGACCCCATGTTGCAGCTTCCATTTTTTGTTATTATTACACCAATTTTCCCACTCCAATGCCTTTTTGAACAGCATGCTTAATTGAGTTTATTCCTTCATTATTCAGAGTACTATTCTCCTCACATTGTATCCCACAGACAAAATATATTAAGATCTGGTAGTATTCTTCCTAGTAACACTAGATCATTATTCCCCTTGTAACTCTTACTCTATACATGCTACTCAAAGGTACAGTACAGAGCATCACTAAAAAGATTTAGGCCCCCAGTGTTACTGGGGAACACCAGATCCTGCTTTTCATACCATAAACAGTTATCGCTCTATGGTAGAGAGCAGGGCCAGCAGAACACCTTTAGGGCCAGAAATAGGTGAGACAATTTCCCCTTGCAATTCCATCAGCCTTTTTTTTTAAAAAAATGCAGGAAGAGGAAAGCGTGTTCCTGACCTTGCTTTGATGACACAGTATCACCTCAATTTGATGCTGCAGGAGAAACGCTGGATAGGTGGGATCCTGACCTGGGGAAGGAAACCTATCTACCACTCCATCATTTTTTCAATGAAACTGTAATATACAAATCACTTTACAAAGCTGTGAACAGCAACATAACGAGACGAGCATTGCCTTCTGCCCTAGTCATACCCTTCTCTTGTGATGGTCTGCTCTGACGTACCTCCGGATTGAGAAGGACCGCATAGGTGCCAGACTGGTAACAGTTCTTTTTCCTCTTCTTTCTAATTATTGGAATAAGCAGGAGGATTGAGCTAAAAATAAGACCAAGCGTTTTCCAGATCTGCAATTATTCTCTCAACTTGTACTTGTCTACAATATTTCTTTCACTAATCACTACCACACAAAACATGCCAGAATTGTTTGAAATCCGAGAGCAATCTCAGACACATTAAAAGACTAATAACGAATGTTGTTTACACACATTTAATTCAACATACCAGAAGCAATTTTCTCACTCTCTTTAGCATTTTATTTGCTTATAAATACAAGTCAATACCACAAGATGGCACTTTCTTACTTGCGACACACACTATTATGAACACTTACCCTCTTCAAATGTTCCCAGATGTTTACGACATGTAACTTCTCAGTGGTTTTGAAACATTTAAAAAAGCAAGACCTTCTACAAACTGCATTTGTGTTTGATGTGTATTAAATAAGGTCAGGTAATTAAATTCAAAAAAAGAATTTATAAATATTTCAGATAAGAAAATTTAAATACAAAAGCAGAGTTTGTATTAATTAAACTGAATAACAATTTAAAAATGGCCATAATGTATCTACATGGTTTAATTTAATTTAATTTAAAATACTTTTTAAACAACCAAATCCTCTAGCCATTCATCAAAACACCTATCTACTCAACTCTTTAAAAAATATTCTCGGTTAAGAAACCACCTATGCTTTTTCATAACAATCCTTATGCTGTCCTGTAGGTGGAAATGAAGCAAAATCATATTCCAGACCGAAAAACAGGATAAGAAGGAAGAAACTTTAAAAAACCTGGTAACTTCAGACACTTCAACTCATTCTTCCTCGTGTTTCTCAAAATACATGATCCGGTTTTAAAGTCTTTGAACGAAATGTAAACACTAGAAAACTCATTGTTGAAATATGTGAAGAATAAAGAACGCTGCACTAATATAGTGCATAATGATGCTGTGTCAAACTTGTCATTTACAGTAAATGTCAGATTTTCCTCAGGATTGTCATGCCTTTTTTTACTAATTCTTTTTGATGTCTGTAGATTCTCTCTTTTTTTTTTTTTTTATTTTATTCCCATTGCTCAACAGGAAGAGATGTATTTTCTGGTCTCTTCAGAAAAGTTTCACAAGATCCAAGTCTTTGACTCCATTTTTTTTTTTTTTTAATAAAGAGGTGGCAAAATTTTAAGCTTGCAATACTTCTGCCCAGTATATTACACATCAGAAGATTCCTCAAAAAACTGAGAAGTCAGAGAGTTCCAAAAAAGAAAGCAGTTAAGGCAGTCGATGTCTACATTTGGATTTCTTTCTTAGGTTACATGTCAACGTCTCCGTCATAGGCTAAGGTTAGAGGCTTCTGCTGTGGAGGAGTGCTTTGATGCTGCTTTGTTTTCTTGCTGCAAGAAAAATATTTCAGGAGACAAAATTATAAACTGTAATAAGCTCAGAAACGCCATCAAAAACCAAACTTCAACCAAAAAAAAAAAATCAATTTCCTACACCAGCTATTTCATTTTGCGACTCGGTGACACTGCGGTACAGGGACTACTTCCAAGAAAAACCACACGGATCTGCTTGTGCGCTATTACGTGTGTGGTACGGACACACAGCCTGCCAAAAACGGGCAGCCAACTCTGCTCTTCATCTGGAGAGGAAATAAAGCATATTTGTCTCCCGTGTCTTCTCACAGTTGACAAAACAAGGAACACCTTGCAGAAAAATTGAAACATGAACTGTCTAGGAGTGGGATATTCTCATTTTTTCTTTGGTACGGTATTGAAGCAACAATAATTATTATTGAGAAATACACTTCCACACCAGCCTTTGAGTGATGGAGAACTATGTAATGTTATTTAAAGAAATCCTCTGTGAAGCCACAGAGAAATGGTAGCTACCTAGCTTGGAAAACAAGGGAACTGCAACTCCTAAGCAGCATCTGAATGCTGTTATTTAAGCTTTTAACTGAAGAGAGAGACTGAGAGAAAGACCAAGAGAGTGAGAGAGAATAAATTGGTTTTGGATGAAAGAGGGTAATGATGCTGTGAAGCCACAGTTGCGACTCTCTGGTGGCCTGCCCTGATCTGACGGGGGTTGGGGCAGCTTGCACCATCAATGTTCGTAAAGCCCAGGCCAGGTCCATGGTCCTAAGGGACAGCTGTGGGTGTTGCAGGACAGAACCACAGAATGGTAGGGGTTGGAAGGGACCTCTGGAGATCATTCGGTCCAACCCCCCCTGCTAAAGCAGGATCACCTAGAGCAGGTTGCACAGGATGGCATCCAGGTGGGTTTTGAATCTCTCCAGAGCAGGAGACTCCACAACCTCTCTGGGCAGCCTGTTCCAGTGCTCGGTCACTCTCAAAGCGAAGAAGTTTTTCCACATATTGAGATGGAACTTCCTGTGTTACAGTTTGTGCCTGTTGCCCCTTGTCCTGTCACTGGGCACCACTGAAAAGAGTCTGGCCCCCTCCTCTTGACATCCACCCTATAGGTATTTGTAAGTGCTGATGAGATCCCCTCTCAGTCTTGTCCAGGCTAAACAGCCCCAGCTCTCTCAGCCCTTCCTCATACGAGAGATGCTCCAGTCCCCTCATCATCCTTGTAGCCCTCCGCTAGACTCTCTCCAGTAGTTCCCTGTCTTTCTTGAACTGGGGAGCCCAGAACTGGACACAATATTCCAGATGGGGCCTCACCAGGGCAGAGTAGAGGAGGAGGAGAACTTCCCTTGACCTGCTGGTCACACTCTTCTCAACACACCCCAGGATACCACTGGCCTTGGCAGCAAGGGCACATTGCTGGCTCATGGAGAGCTTGTTGTCCACCAGGACTCCCAGGTCCTTCTCCACAGAGCTGCTTCCCAGCAGGTCAGCCCTTAACCTGTACTGGTGCTTAGGGTTGTTCTTCCCTAGGTGCAGGACCCTGCACTTGCCCTTGTTGAACTTCATTTGGTTCCTCTCCGTCCTCTCCAGGACACACGGATGCTGGCCATTGCTCCCTTCGTATCCTCCAAGATGCATCAATGGCAGCACCTTTCCAAATATTCAAACCAGAAAGCTTAACACTAGCTTTGTCAAGCTAGGCCTGCCACCCCTGCCCGGGGCAATGGCTCCTTTGGAGAAGGGCAGGCATGTCCCTCAGCAGCAAAGCCCAGTGACGCACTGGCGTAGACCAGGGCTTCGGTACACCCAGCGCTCTATCTCTAAGAGTGGCTGGTAACAGCAGCTTTAGACACAGGACATGTTTCCACCTGATGGATTCACGGCAAAATCCTATTTAGGGATTTCCTGAGCTGGAGCATACATCCAGAAAACCACAATTAACACCCAATCTCCCGTGAACTGTTATGCCATCTTTGCATCCATTTATCTTCCTGGCATGCACAGTCCCCGGCAGCGGTAAGCTCACAAGGTAATAATGCGCTGTGTGAAAAATAAAATCTTTTGTTTATTATTTTAAACGATCATTTCATCAGATGCCTCCTACTTCTTGTATTGTGGGAAATAAAAATTCCCTAGCACCCTTTTCTACTCCATTCATGATTTCATAGATCTCTATTGTATTCCCACATTAAACATCATTTTCCAACTGAATGCCCCTATTCTATTTAGTCCTTCCTTGAGCAGAAGCCAGCTCCTCAATCCAATCAGCCTCCTTGCCTTTTTTCAGTTTTACTTTATCTTTTTTTAAAAAAAAAAGAATACAATATAAAGCCCTTTCTAATCCCAGCAGAAGTCTGAGTAAATACAAGGGCCTATTGATAACCAAAAAGAATTCTTTCCCTGCATGGGCACCACACTTCTTCACAATTACGTCCGTTAACGTTTACAATTTGGAGAGTTGTAAATTACTCTGAGGTAGGGGCCAAATGAAGGCAGTTAAGTAATCCAATCTCCATCCTTTTCTAAAGCCTCGAGGATTAAATCTCTGCAACACAGAGCACTGTGATACATTTTGGATTGTTTAAACAAAAGCAAACTAGCTTTTATTTAAGGACAAAATATATGCCATACTCACCACATCAGGTAGGATGTAAAAATCAGGAAAACTATGAGCAGGAACCCGCCAGCTGATACTCCATATACCCACATCTTCAGTTTACCATCTGTTGGAAGATGAGAAAAAAGGACAGGGGGAGAAAAGTGGAGAATAAAAATTTTGTTCTAAAATACACAAATTCTTAGGAGATTAAGTAAAGACAAAGCAAACAAGCAAAATAAGTAGCATCACTGATGGGAAACACAGCAAGGACTGGCTGTGAATAATCCATAAACTCCACATTTTTGACAGAAGAAAAGATTCCAATAAAAATCAATTGTTTTGAAGACTAAATCTTAACTTTGGTAAGGAGTGTAGATTTTCCTCAATGAAAACAGAAAATGAACTCTTCGTCTCAGTTTTCCAAAGCAGCGTTATTTCATAACCTTCCCTCCAGCTGAGCTCCTGCAGTTCATTATGGGCAGCAGCGGAAATACAACGCGGCCAGGCTCCTGGCCGTGGAAAGGAGCAGAGACACGAGATAATTGCGGTACATTCGCTCAGAAGCCCCAGTGGCTGCTCGAGCAAAGGCAGTTCAACATTGAGCTGACCCAGACAGAAAGGCAGGAAACACCTGCTAGGTTTAGCCTAAAGAAAAGAGGAGTGAGAAGAGATGGGATTGTTCTCCATAAATACTTGGGGGTCAATCAGGGTAAACACCAGCGAGCAGAAGTCAAAAAGCTACTCAGAGGTGAAAAATGCTTGGGCAACAAATGGGAATAAATTCGGCTTAGAATAAAACCAAGAATATGCTTTGTAATAGTAAGAGGGATAAAGCCGGCCCACGGGAGCAGGAGACGTAAGTGGGTTTAAGACATGGTAAGGCTCTTGATAGGGCTGTTTGGGTTGCAATGCCAGGACTCACCTGCAACCCTTGCAGGAACCCCTCATGCAAATGTGAGCTTGAGTGTGTTGAAACATCTCCCTCTGATAGTCTCAAAACAAGTTATTTGGACAGGTCCTTAATTACAAGCTTTGCATTAATAATAATAATTTTTAAAAGACCAATATTTCTGGTTCTAGCTCCGTTCTGGCTGTACAGCTTTCCTTGTGGGGAGCAGCGATGGTATTTTTTCCATGCAGCAGTAGTCTGAGCTGATTCCTATCAGCAGAGCTGTTAATACGTACTGGAGGCAGGAATATCAACCTGCGCCGTGCCCACAGACACGGTTTGACAGAGGCCGTTTCAAACTCAGTCATGCGAGTGGGGAGTTACTTCACAGGACAATCACTGAGCCTGTTTTACATTTTATCTCTGAATTATGAATTTTTTAAAAGGGAAACATATTTAATCAGATCCTATTCTTTCTGTTTGTGGTTTTTTTTCCTTCCAGATTTTGTGGAAAGGCTGAGTACCTCTCACAGATTTTCCCCTCAAAACAATTACAGCTTATCTCCCATGTGAGGAGAGCTCCATTCACTAGGGCTGGGTCGTTGAGTTTTTTTGCTGAAGTCTGGATATGAAATTTGTTGCCCTCTCAACTGGAGATGGCCAAGAAACATTCAGCAGTCCTGCAAAGGGACTGTCACAGCCGCAAGAAGGCATCCCACCATGTCTGCTATGAAGGCAGCTATGCTTTTCATCCCCAATGTAAAGGCATTGGACCATGTCATCCTACAATTTAAACAAAGCTATTTAAATCACCTCTCAACTTGAAAAAAGGTTTTGTACCTGAACTTGGACTCCCAGAGCGTGGTAAAGAAAGGAGCAACACAGCCTGATTCAAAATCAGTTCTGAGCACTCCTGCAGAGCATTTAAAAGAACATCAACCTCATTAAATCATAATAAAATTTGTGTTCCAAACTGTAACCAGTAAGGAAAATAACAAATTAACTGGAGAAAGGCATGTATACTTTTACTGACAGATGTAAGTCCTTAGACATCCACAAATGCAAAGGACTATGGTACTGAAGGGTGGTAAATGCCATCCATACAGGCAGCGTTCACCATAGACCGGCGTAACTGGTGGGTAACAGCGGTTTCCTGGCTCAGCTAGCAGTAATTATTGCAAACGCCCAGATTAGTAAGCCCAAGAGCCTGTTTAAGGGGAGTAATTACATATTTTGTCAAGAAGTTAAGACAAAGGGGAGTGATTTGAAGAGGACCAGCCTTGAGCTGGGGTCTGAAGGGCACATGCAGGATGTCATGGGGTTGGTGATACACTTAGCACACCTGGGAAGCACGTTTATTCCGTTCCCATATATTGTTTCTATAACATTTCTGCCCTAAAATTAAATAACACCATGTTCTGTAAAAGCTCCATAGTCCCTATTTCTGTCTCATAGTCCCTGGGGGAGAACTGGCTCACAAATGCTGCACTGAGGTCAAGCCCACCAGAAGCTTTCAGGGCTGCAGCCTCAAACACTGATTTAAAAAGAGGATTGCAGCACCCACCTACACCTCTCTCCCTTTTTCTAACCCTGTAAAGGTACCAGCTGAAGAGATGACACCTAAGAAAGACAGTCTACTGAGGGCCACGGATGCTGACAAAAAGGCAATTAACCCCAAACCTGTGACTCAAACTGCTGGTGAACTGTGTGGGCTTCTGGATGATGGGTTTGATCAAAAACCAGCCAACTTTAAAAGGCTTTGGACCGAGCTCTATTAGCTCAGAGACTGTCAACGCAAAGGTTAACTACTGTATGCAAATCAAATATGTAAATGTAACATTCAAAGTGTGATCACATATATCAGACAGAATTACAGCTCCCTGAATCCTGTAACAGAACCTTTTGCTACACGTTTTCTGAAGTCTTGTGTTCATTACAAACTAATAGGAAACAAAACCAATGTCAGGGAACAGAAGAGGGGGAAGGCTGCACTGCCAGTATTTTAGAAAATGGGGAGAGCTAATGCATTTCAGTAAGCCTTGACATGCCTGACACCTTCACCTCCCATTTTAAAGTCCTATTTGCATTTTAGAAATTTATTTTGACTAAATTAATCTTGCAAAATAACAGTCAACATGGTAATTGGCTATTACAGCTACGGCACCAGTCCTGTGGATCAGCCAGGGCACATCCAGTACACACTTCCAACTGGGAAGCATGTTACAGTGTGGAAGCCAAAGATCCACTTGGGATGCACTGCTTGGGCACAGCAGCTTGCCTGTTTTTTGTTGTTTTTCTAATATCTTTACTTCAACACTTAACACTCTGTACTTTCTACCCTATGTTTTTCATATACTTTTGAAATATGGCAAGAAACAACCAATGTTTTCTTTAATGAAATCTTAAGTACTTTCCGCTCTGAATCTTCTGAAGCGCCAGTGATCAATATCTTTCCTGGTCCAAATATATTACTTCTACAAACATCATCAGATAATAGTTCTAAGCATCTCCCAAATCACATATGAGTATACTTTTTTGCAAAATATTATTGCTTCATTCTGTCTTTGCTATCTCTCAACATAAGAGATTGTGATTACTCCGGACCAGCACAAAGGAATGAAAGATGGCATGCGAGTTAGAAACTGGGAGGCGGCTCTGCAGCTCCCAGACACAATCTCTGATGTTATGATCTACAAAGCTTGTACCTTTCCTCTACAGAAACACTGTAAAGACAATTTATTTCATTCATATTTAAGTTTTTCACCTGGATTAAAAGGTTGAATAGACCATCCTTTGAAAATGTCATGCATTTTTGAGTTGACAGGTTTATTTTTTCCAGCAATGGTCTTAACATCAGCTTTCTTATCTTCTAAACCTGGTATCTTCATGCAGTAATCCAGGAAACCATTTGATCTCATTATTTCTGTATATCCTCGCTCACAACCGCAGACTCCTCTCTAGGTGATAAAAGGGAATTCAGTATTAAACCAAATAGCATCCTCTCGCAGAACAGTGCAAATTGTCGGCAAAATAAGAAGAAACTCCAAGGTACATCGTGCATGGAAAACTTCACCACCACCAAACCAAACAAGCCAGGAACTGGTGCCCACAAACCCATTTCAGTTCCAAAAGCCAATATATATACTCGGGGAATTGGTTGAAAAAGAGTCAGTAATTACAGAGAAGCCCAACATACAAACATTTTCATCCTAACAGGCTTAAAAACAGGCATCTGTGGCTTCATCCAGACTCCTCTTGCCAGTAACAATTTTCCCACTGACCCTGCTAGAGATTAGAAGAGACGAACGAGAAACAATCCCACTTCAGACCCAAACTCTCCCAATGTATTTCCACTCCGGTATTTCACAGGGCTATCTGAAATAAAGCTTGCTTTCTTATGGCCAATTATCCACTGCCTTGGATCAGTCTAAGCAGCTTCTTCAAGACGTTTCTTAGAAGTCAGTAGTTTGCTAAATAGATACTCCATTTTCTGGATTTCTACTTTAAAACAGCTTTATTTAGATTGTTTTTCTTTCCTAATTATCTTATAATTACAATGCCTGTCTGAGGTCTGATACCCACGGTTACAATCCAAACAGGTGATTGATTTACAATCTCTGTGATAAGAACTTAAGTCTTGACATCAGTTTTGTTGTCACAACATCCCCCACTTGTTGACAGACACGATCCTGAGCTTTTTTTGGACAAAAGGTGAAGTCTCAAGGGTTTTTATAGCTAATAAATTCATGCTTACCCGTCATTTTTATGTGCTGGTAGGCTCTGAGCACCTCTCAGCCACATGCAATTGCCCATGAGCTAGCTTCCAATGGTAATTCCTCCCACCAGATATTCATGTGAAGCTGAGAGCTGTGGAGGCTATTTTCAAAATATAAATAACTAAACCCCAACTGTCCCTGGCTACTTTAAGGTTTTATACTCCATCACACTACTGACACAGATAAGGCGTTTTGGGAAGCTCTTTACTTTGGAGTTCGGTACTGCAGGAAGGGACATTTGTAACCTCCGGGCTCACGTTTGCTCAGAGGCAAAGAAGTGGCAGCGGCTCCAAGATTCAGCAGGTGTTGCAGATGCTCAACTTCTCAGCAAAAAAGGTCACTTCCAGGTTTTGCTTTAGAAGGCAGTAATGGGGATGGTGGGATCACACTGCTACAGCTTCCCTACGCTCATGGGGGCTTTCTGCGTCCGTGGAGGAGCAGGAGAGGACATATTCTTTTATTTTCTCTTTTACAGAAGTTTTAAACAGTCAATTTTCTACAGGAAAATACAATAGCATTCAATGAAAGTTAAGCCAAGATGATCCAAAACTCCTCCATGGAACAAAACCAAACTTGCAACACCACATAAATACCCCATCATTCGTCTGCGCAGGTTTATGAAGGTTTCCTTTCAGACTGAAATTCCCACAACTTCCTCGAGGTGGTACCATGGACACACTAAACTATTTTCTAGGTCCTGGAATGCACTGAAGATACAGAAGCTAATTGAACAGATTTTGTGGTGTTAATTTCTCAACCATATTCTGCAGCAGGCAATTACCTGTGTGCAGTAGGAGAATGGTTTTCTGCACGCCGGGCTGCAGTGCCGAACTTCAGCAGGTTTCGTCCGAAGAGCACACCCTCCTGTAAAAGAAACTACTGAGTGCCTGTTCGAAAATGTTTTTGACTCGGATCACCATCATGTCAGTGCTTGCTTACTTATTTTATATAGTAAAATACTAGCCTATTGAGCACATTAGCATAATATCTGTAGGCACTGCATTAATTAATTTGCCTTAACAAGGCAGGGAATTATTATCATGCCCATCTTGTTAATGGAGAACAGAGATATACAGATTTAAGCAATTTGCCACAGGCCACATAGGAAGTTGGGGACAGAATCAGGAATTAGATGCAGATCTTCTGTGTCCTCATTACTGTCTTATCTACATAAGAAGACATAATCCACATAACGCCTTTGCCCATCCTCACTTGGGGAAGTCTGTGCTTCTATAGGAATAAAAACATGTTAATGAGTTCTTAACTACTCGGCAACCTTTGCACATAAAACTTTGGTTATTATCTTAACTAGTCATTATAAATAGAACTAGATAAGAACATTTGCCTTTTTATTTCTACTCTCTCCTCATTCACCCTGTGCATATTGAGAGAGATCCTATGGATGTGCAGGTCCTACTGCCTTTGCCAATCTCTCGCGGAGCTTCAAAGTGCTGACCACGAATTTCCCTTTTCATCCTTCACAGGCAGAATTTGTAGGTCACGGCAACAGCAGGCATCTCACAGCTTGAGGGATTTGAGATTCCTGTCTGTTGAAAAGAAGAAGAGGTACAGAAGCTGGGCTCTCTACCACATGTGTGATGTTCTCTTCTGTTCTCCACAGTTACAGGAAGTTTGCACGAACGGCTGTACCAGCCAGCCCAGGAAGCCCTTTTAGTACATGTACACTCATTTCTTCCCGTGACCAACCCAACAGTAAGGGTAACTCACCCAAACACTCTCATGTTATGACATGCATGACATTGACCTGACAGCAAGGCTGGTGAGCTCCATCTGCCTTTCCTACACACCAATCTGAACTGAAATTCTGGAGGAGTTAGGAAGGCTGTCCAACTGCCCTCTGAGTAACCGACGCAGAAGAAGAAAAACCTGAATGGAGACTTCCATTCATAGTTGTGCATGGCAATTTCTGGATATACCTGTGACATTTATTCCATCTGAGCGCTGACACCACACCGTGCGTACGTTGTCTCGCCAAAGGCTGGTTTTCCACAGGTAGTCGTAACACTTCCCTCCTGTAATACCAACACCAGTTAGTCTTCACCTTGCAACAAAACGAGAATAAACTCTTGAAGGGGAGAAAGCAGTGCTGTGGCCACACTACCTGAGCAAGGCCGCGTTTCCATCGCTTGTCCAGAGCAGCTCTCCTGATTCTCAGCAGACTGAACGATAAATGCCCTGGATCGGGACTGGCGACCTGTTGTCTCGAAGCTCCTGCCATTGATGCAGGTAAGCTCACAGGAGCTCCACTCTGACCACTCTGTCAGGTGGCAGTCACCTGCACATTGAAAGAATAAATCACAGGTTTTCAAAAGGAATCAGTCTTAAAGGATAAGGACAACGTAAGCGTACCACAGCTGCAATAGTGAAATACCCCCAGTTTATCGCCCAGTGGTGTGAATTATTAAGATTTTCTGCTTCATGGGGAATCTCATTTTCTCAAGAAAAACAAAACCAAAATCAAAACCAAACAAAGCAAACTCTTTTTCAGATGCTCTAGAAACAGCAGACTGAGCATTCACCTGCTCTGCTGAAGTACAAATTCTTAGTACATTGGCTGACAGTACTGAGAGCCACGGAAGCATCTCCACCTCAGACAGCCATCACAGGCCGAAATGCACCAGGACTTTCCAAAGACTTTACCTGGGCAAGGCACAGAGCACGGTAACTGCAGCACGCTCTCTTTCAATGGCAGCTCACCACATAACGCATTTTCTACTGGTTTGGATGTAGCAGAAACAGACGCATCGTGCACTACGCACGTGAGGTTGCGGACTTGCAATCCATCGCCACACTGCCCACCCTATGAAAGGACGGAAGGGAACAGAGACGCACGTCACCGACGTTAGCAGATGGCAGAAGAAATACGGTTGATTCCACCTAAAAAGACTTCAAAGATATAAATTTGGTCTTTGGACTGCAATAGTATCCCCAGTTATGGGAAAACAAATGGAGATCTCCTCTGTACACATCTCCACAGAAGCTCAGAGGCAGAGCCACACAGAAACACGTGTTGTATCCAAAGCAGGAGAAGAGGTGGGTACCGTAAAAGATTAATACTGTCTTTGGGGTTGGCCCTTTGTGCCTTTTACTAGAGCTAGTAAATTTACTGATTCTTAATTAGTGCCCAGTTATGTGAACATAGAAATTTTTGGCTTCTCTCAAGAGGCCAAGAGCAGAGCCTGCCCATCAGGAATGGACATTTCCACTCACGTCCTTTGACGATACAGCCCGATAGGAGCCCTTACATGGACTGAATCCTGCAACAGCAAAAATCCTCCAGCACACTTAATTAGGGTTATTGCACACTAGGCTGTTTGTGTCATTTATTAAAGGGAGCTATTGGTTCTGGAGTAGACAGAGATCACCAGCTTGTGTCACACACTCTACCAAAACATCAAACAACATCAGCTGTCACCTGTTAGCACCGAACCTCATCTGAAGAAGCAATAGGAGGCTCCATCTGAGCTACTCCACACTCATCAGCCCAGTTCTGAAATACTTAGTCAAATACCAAACTACTTGCTGAAGAAGACTTCCTTTACCAGAAAAATCGATATTGTTTGTCTAAGCGATGGTCAAGGGCTGAGGATGTGGTAAGAGCTGAAGCACTGAGCCTGTTTCTAGAGGCTGGAATTGTTCTCATCTGAAGAACAGAGCTGCCTTGGGTTTGAGGTGTGATGCTCTACGAACTTGCGCCTGAAGCTTTGCGGAAACCGCACTTTACAAAATTCAGTAAATAAAACTGAAGAAGAAGGATGAAACATTGCTTTTATATAACCAAGGGAAGTGCTCCTTTGGATCACTTGGCAGTGGATTCTTTTAAAATAATGGACTATATCTGCACAACAGAATGGCTCCTACCGAGTGCATTCATTCAGCAATGGGTTTGCCAGCAGCAACGGCTCTCCTGCATACACCTGGTAGCTTTTTCATTCTCTCCATCCCTTCCATTGCAGACACACAATGAAATGGAAATAAAAGGATAACTAGCTGGATTTAGAGCAGTTGCTAATCAAAAGCATCTTAGAGAATTATTAGTGTAGATTTACCATATGCAGCCAGATTTCAAGTTTTTAACACCGTGTTTCACTTTAGTCAGTATGTAACTTACTGTTCTAAATTACTGTTTCACCACTGAAACCTCTATTGCGGTCTGAGATTAATGGTGTGTGAATAACTCATGCAGCTGTCAATTGGGTTAGAGCTCTTAGAAAAGGCTGGTGGAAACAGAAGATGATGTGGAGAAAATTCTCAGGAGGAAATGGGCACTAATCAAACTGCAGTGTATTTCCAGCTCAAAGTGGCTCAGGGAATGTCTAAACATTACTGTAAAGGACAAAAAAAAAGTTTTTTAAAAGATACTTATTGTTGTGTAAACAATATATAGGTATTTATATACCGATCCATATATAAATAGTTGTATGAATACTGAGATATAAATATAAATAACAGGTGAAAGCAATACATTTTTTTCATACAGGAGTCTCCACTATAAAGTCCACATGCAACATTCTTCATTCTTCTGTCATGCGATATTGGACATACATTCCTATTTTCCAATGCTTAGAATAAAAAATAAATAGAAACCATGGACTCTCAAACAAAGATAAAGGTTTTTAACAGTGGCTTGCATTTGCTTGCTTTCTTTCAAGACCAACAATGTGTTTTTTACAATCAATTGAACACACTTAAAAGATAATATGTCATCTTGTCATTTATAGAGGGAGATGGGTTTTGGTATATTTGGCAAGGTCATAAGCAATGCAGGAGTACTGCATTAACTTACTTATCATCTTAAAAATTATTCATGTCCCCAAAATTATACATTTGAAGATCTAATTAATAGATGTGGAATCAGTGGAAGTTCGCTGCAGTACTGGCACACTGAGGATGCCGGGAATAGCTGCGAATCAGAAGAGATGATCATGTATTCAAAACTCAGAGGACCAAATCTGTATTGTAAATGCTCTTCCCTGGAAGATGTGATCACCTGAGCTTTGCCTGGAACCAGGACTTGCCTCGAGTCACAAGCTCCTGGCAGGAAATATGCAGGAATTTCAACTCCAGAGGGGATTCCCTCCATTTGGCTACAAAAATTTTTACCCTGTGGAGGATGCAGAACCCACCCTGGGTCCCCTAAACACAGCCCAGGGGTATGGGTCCTCCAGGAGCCCCTGCACGGAGCCTCCACCTCTCACCCCAACCACCCACCCATAAAATAAGGAGAAGGTTTATGCCAGACCTGTGTTTTGACAGCCAGGCATCTTTTGAATTGACCGACACACTAACATAAGGCAGCATCTGCACAAACCTCTCACATCACCCTCCGATGCTTTCCACATGTAACACACTAATAAGACAAGAGATAACAGGCCTAATGAGATGCTTTGCCCAGATGTGCCTTTAAGAAAAGTTTTCCCTTTTCAGCTTTTATTGGGGTGAATGTGTGTTCACAATTATTTTAGGTAAAGAGTTGATCGGGCAATGCTTTCACAGGTCGATGAGCATTTAATCAGGTAAAAGTTTTCTTTAATGAGGAAGCATTGTGTGATCACATTTAAGGGACTGCTTTTAAAACACTTTAGCAAGGAAGGGTTCTTAGTCTTCTTATGAATGGTAGGCAGGTAGTGCTTGATAGTGTCTAGCTACTTCACTTATATTCCTTTAATGGAAAAATTATGAACAGTGTCAGCCATTGCTAATTTATTTTTTTTTTAACTAATCAGGATAAACCACTTCAACTCCAGTAGGAAAATGATTAATGTAATGTAACCCTTTAAGATTACGTGTACTGAGCATTTCCCAAGTTCTGCATCCCTCTGAATGCAGCAGAAGTGCCCCACACCCGCCGGAGGTGTGCCTGCGACATGTGTAATTACCTGGAGAGCAATGCACTGATTTCCATACTGTGAAAATCAGCAATACAGAACACTTAGCGGGATCTATTCCTAAACATGCAGACACCTCTAATTATTCACATGAAGTCGATTTAGCATACAATAGTCCTTCTACAATTAAGAAATGCAGTCTTGGTTATCTCATAATACAAGGAAAAAATATTTTAGCCTTATAATTAATTGTCCTGTTTATATTATTACAGGAAGGCACTTTTGCAATATGCATTTTGGTCTTACCATAGGATGCATCTACCTTATTTAATAAAGCATCCTTGAAAACAGGACTTCTGAAAGCTTTCTTTAGAAAGTAAGCTTAAGCTTCTTTTCCAGTAAAGCTCAGGAATAAATCACCCTGTATTTATGAACTATATTTAATTCCTAAGCACCTCATTAAAGAGAACTGAACATGAATAAAATGCCTCCCCTCCAAAACAAAGCAAAGGGCAGAGAAACTACATCACAGTAATTTAAGGAGAGAAGCAGGCTCTATCTCACTGAAAGCGCGGGATGCTATCTGGTTTAGGGAAGGCTGTGATTACTTGCTCTGAGCTGAAATTTGGCTGGGTTCTGGGTGCGCACACTTTTAATCTGCACGAGGTGTTATTTATCTGGAGTATGCCAGGGCGTTAATTCAGCTTCCCTGCTAATTCTTTTATCAGCTATGTTAGTTCCTACAGTTGAAGGTCTCTTCCCTAATGTTTAACAGAATTTGCTTACGTTAGCTGGACAAATTATCAACTGATGTTATCATTTTGTTATATTTATGTTATACACAAATAAATACTGAGTGCAGAACATGCCAGGACCATATCCACACCCCTAGTTGCAATGAGTTGTTGTTCATTATATAAAATATAAACATATTTCTGTTTTTCTGATCTTGGACTGTCCAAAGACTGTCATGCTCAAGATTCCATTTGTGAAAACCTGGGAAAATTCTGGGTATCTGTTGTGCCACCCACAGTATTCGCTACATGTCCACCTAACCGCATCTAGAAACCAAGAAGGTATTCAAGGCGTTTGCAGTGTGGTACATGGCAGAGCAGAAAACACAAGGGAAGTTTCTTCACGCTCATTACTGGCTTCAATCTCCTACATGGTATAATGTGGAGAAGCAGCCACAGATCCACGCAGAGGTCCTGTACCCTCAGACCAGAAAAAGGACTTTTCCACCCCAAGCATGCTTCTCCCACCAGCATCTCAGCAAAGTTGGCTCACAGCAGCCCGAGTGGACTTCACTCCATCCAAGAAACTTCAGCATGAAAGATTCACCTCTGCTTAAACTGGGTTACTGACTAATATGTTTTAATATTGGAAATGTGATCTAATAGATAAGGAGAGAAGAAAAAGCATAAGAGGGGGAAAAAAAAATCAATTGAAGCCTGATGGAAGTCACCGGCAGTGAGAAAATGACGGCTCCAGTGCCGGCAATGCAGAGGTGCTGAGCATAGGTACAGCACATCGCAACTGAATCCGGCCATTTTTAGATCATTAAAAAGATAGCCAGGCTAAGGAGAAAGTAGAAACCAGCACTTCATACAATAACTCACACTATTGTACCAGAGACCTTGTGGGAAAGACCTGCTATTCAGTACTTTAAAAAAAAAAAAAAGGAAACAAATGGTAAAAAAGACTAAGCTCTCTTGAAATCTAGTGTATCTATTTTCTCGTTAGAGTTATTTTATATAATTAAATTATAGGTCACCATGACTATGCCCACTCAAGCACATTTAGTCTGTAAATCTCCTTTAATACCTCTATAAACTCGCAGTACTTGAACCTGTACTGCTGTAAATCGCTGCTGATGGCTGGAAGATGAGGTGCAGAGGTTTACCACTCCTGAACTTCCCCTGCTTTCCTATGGATCTTACCAGCACCTTCAATGGCCACAGAGACCCCTCCGCCCCACGAACGGCGGCCTCAATCAATTCTGCCATATAACGATAATTTTTGTCGTTCACCCCGGCCGCAGGGACCCCGAGGAACCCTCGGGGAGCGCAGGAGAAAGCCATACCTGGATTTTGCAGGGAGACCATGGGCCCAGCAGCCAGCTGTAGCAAGGCTTCACCGGGCAGCTCCTGTGCTGGGTGAGCTGCTCCGGGCAGGGTCTGCCATCGCCCGCTGCCCGCAGGACCACCGAGCGCCCACGCACCATCTGGCCTAGGCGAGGGGAGAAGACAGGACACGGTGAAGGAGACCCGGAGGAAGACAGAAAGGCAGATTTTGTGATTTATCATTATTCCTAGTTCATTTTCCACCACTAAAATCTGTTTAAGCAGCAATTAATTGGGAAGACTATTTGGATAATACGGATGCAATTGTTAAGTCTAAGTGATGCTGTCACTGGTATTTTCAAACACAGATTTTAAACACAGTTTTGTATGTTTTCCAAATATATTATTTGTTTATGCAACACATTTAAATACTTGACTAAATCCTGATTATTAAATATGACAAGAAAATAATTCCTGTGGCAGCATCATTTCTAATGTTACACATTCAGTATGTTTCCAGAGATTTTTAACAAATGAAATTTTCTTTTTATGACCAATTATATGCATCTAATTTGAAAACTGCAAACACTCTAGTGGCTATTACCATCCATAACCACTTCTGCCATTTCCATTAAAGCTCTATTTATTATTGGTGAAAACTTCTCCAGCTACTGAATGGAAAAAGCAATTATGTTACTACTTTTGAAATAATAAAACTGAATATATTCATTAAAGTTACAGCAATTCCATTTCCGTCTTCATTGTTGTCCGTTTACGTCCAGGAATGTTTTCACTCAAAATGTTTCAATTAGAATCCCTGCTCCAATTAAAAAGAAAAGTGGAAAAAAAAAAGAAAAAAAAAAGCCCTTATGCAACAGGATGCAGAAGATTGTGTTGGGGATAAAATTTCTGCCTTGACTTTCAATAGGTGTGGATTTGAGAGGCAGTAAAAAAAAAATAAAAGGTCTGGATAATAAGGGTATACACATGCAACAAGACAGAGGCAAGCGGTAATTGCTAACCCACTGAAAAGGAAAGAGATAACGTGTTGCGGCGGAGCTCTCCCATTTGTATCGCAGCCGTTTAGCTGCAATCATGGGTAGAGGGGAGGCCGGGGGGGAGCAAACCCCCCTGCGAAGTGGAGAGGCTGCGAGATCCAGCCAGATCCCTCTCCCAGCTATTTATGCATGCACTTTTTAATTAACGATACTGCAGCTGGGTTTAAGGTACGTTTCTAATAGCTGCCATCGTGACTGTCTACGGAGCAGGGGTTCCAAAAACGTTTTAGCAAATAAAAATTAAAAGCAGACATACCTGAAAAAGCTACTGACAGATACCTTAGCAAGCTCTCTTACCTTTACAATGCTATTCCCTCGCTCTGACCCATTGAATTCCATTTTTAAACCCATTTAAACCAATTTTAAGACTTCCTCCTTTTCCAATTCTAATCCCCTGGACCTAGGGAGTTTGTAACAGAAGTGATGATAAAAGCTCTTATCCACATGACTGTGCATTCAGCCACCACGGAATCAAATACATTAGGAGGTGGGAAAAAACCCTACCAGCTGCGAGGCAAGGTAAGAAACTCCTGTGGTTCACCGGGGGTCAGAGCAAGGGAAGAGAAACCCCCCCAGCCCACTGCCGGCAAACCCCACGGCAGCCTTCCCCTGCCCAACAAGCCAAAATTCACTCTTTCTTCCCCTCCAGAAATGGACCAAATTTGCTGGATTCTTCTTAATCCTGAATGCTGAGGGGTGGCGAGCAATGGAAAAGGCTCTTTGGGAAAGCGTGGGGAGCCTGCGGCTGAGGGGTTTTCAGGACGCCCTGGGGCAGGTGGCTCACCCCAGCCAGGGAGCTCTGCAACAGAAAATGAGATCTCCTAAGCCTAAAAGATCTGATTTCCTTAGCAGGGACTTGAAAGCCCGAAGCATTCATCAAGCTATTTTAATTAAAGATATAATTTCCTTTGGTACACTCTGTTTAACTTCTTTCTAGCAAAACATAAATGGGAAGATCATTGAATAGAAAACACAGTTTTCCTTTTAAGAGGAATTAACAACTGGTCTGTACTTACGTACATTTTACTATCTTACAGTTGGTTATCCAAACCATTTAAACTCACAACATTCACAATGGTCAGCTGGTGCTTGACTCTTTAGTCTATCACTTTCTTTTTATACTGTGAACAAATCATCGAAGACAGAAGTTTTGTTGAAATCCTTCTTTGCACAATTGCTGCAGTGAGCTTCTTAAAGCTCTGATTTTTTTTTTTCTCACTCCATAAACATTGTCTAGGTGCTCAGTTACCACTCAAGTAGCAGAAAAACTCCCCAACTTTACTTTTTAAATACCTTATCTTTTGCTGCCTATGGAGAACAGAATCTGACAGCATCTGAAATTAATTTGCTTCCAACACAAATTCTGGAAGAATGAAAATAATCTTAGTTGTTTCCTTAACATGAATATGCCACACCTTTGTTTCCTTTGCTCTGCAGTGTTAAATGATAGGAAAATTAAGACAGAAAGTGTGCTGAAAATTGAAAGTAAGTATTTCTTCATATCCTCAAATTTGTCATTAGTTTTGAAAGCAGGAAAAAAGAGGCTAGTCTTGTTAATGCTGGTCACTTAAAATCCTGTTTTGCATCAGCAGATAAAATTTCATCTCAGAACGATAGGGTCATATTTTCAAATCAGTAGAGTAAGATTTTTTTACCCTCCAAAAATCTTGCCATTTTATCCCCACAAAATGATGCGTCGCAGCTGAAACCAAGACGATTAAAATTCCTGCTAGAGTTCATCCCAGTCAAAATTACTGACACGTCGTTCTCCGTTTGATGAGCGTGAGCAGAGCATATAAAACACAGCCCTGTCAGGCAGCCGAAAGACTAGAGCGGGGATTGAGTTACTTAAATACAGCTCTGGAGGTCAGGTTAGGTTAAGTCACAAGCAAATGGGACTGGTGATAAATGTTTTTTTTCATCTACTTCCCACTGGCAGTGCCTCCAGTGGGTGCTGGGGCATCCACAGCTCTGGGAGAGGTTTTGGTGGCCCCTCTTCCAGCAACGTCTCCCAGCACCATCAGACTGAGCTTGCCAAGTTTGAGAAGCAAGGGAGAAAAAGTCACGAAAGTTTCTTCTTCAGGAGCTAGAGCCAAAAATCTTTTCCCAAATTGGTGAAGAATCAGTAAAAACGTAACCAGCAAATTTTTCAGATGGTTGCATATCCCTGTCCCCTTCATTTCAGTCTGGTGCTGGGGTGCACGTCTCTGCAACCCGCTACGGCCTCTTCTGGGCTCTGAGGACTGAGCAAGGCACGGCAGCATGTTCAACCCTGGGTAATTCAGGTAAGCGCCATCATTTATCTGATGAAGTCAGCTTTGTAAGTGATAAGGCTGGGTCGAGGTGTTCTTGTACTATTTAGCACTTCTGTTAGACAACTTGGGAGAAATCATATGGGATTGGAAAACAATCGCATAGAAAAATTCCGCATCCTCGTGTATTCATTTGCCTTAACAAAGGAAATACAATTTGCTCAGGATTATCCGTACCAAACATCTTTCCAGTAACTTTGATTTGGGCCGTGGGAGCATCATCCATTAACGCAGCACTATACATCTTTTCATAGCAGTACAGCAACTGATATGAGGAACCCTAATATATAACCCAATGTCAGCCTAAAGCCCCAGCTACCATCCTGAACAGATGCTGCCCAGAACTACAACTGCAACAGGCAAATATCAGTTACACATCTCCGTAGGCTCAGTGCAGGCAGGAAAGAGAGATCTACTTTACTCATCATCATTTATAAAAATCAATATATTCGCCTTTGGCTGCTGTGTACCAGAACCATATTAGCTGTCAGTGCCACATACGCAGCAGCACCACTTCATGCTTAAATGCATTGTTCCATAAAATAAAACCTGAGCAAGAGAAAGGTACCATCCATTAAAATATATCACAGCAAACCATTACTGGAAGAGATGGACAGAATAAAAATGTTAGCAACAATGCTTGAGTTAAGAAACATATGAAAACGTAAATCCAGCACCATTAAATTTTGATCTGAATGATATTTAAATGATGTTTCTCTTTGAAGTTGTTTATAGTACTTCAGCAGGCCCTTGACATGCTCTCCAAGAAAAGCCAGAAAAGCAGAATATTATTGTGACGGAGCCAGTAACGGTCTGTACAACCGATTTGCTGTGAATTATTTCTGAGAACCATGCATCTAAGTCCTACATTTTAGCTTTATCAAATAGTGGGCAATTAGGTATTTGGCAAAGGGAAGCCAAATCAGTGTTTACTGCAGCCAATTCCCACAGCTCGTTTATTGTCATCCTTTGGTTCTCCCTGAGTAATTTGAGGCTTCATCCTGTTCTCCCAAATGCCTGTAAGAAACTCCTGATGATTTCAAAGGTATTGCAGCCTATGAACCTTCGGGTAGGAAACCCTCACTGTATTCACCTGTGAAGTACCACCTGTAGATGAGTACATAATTAGTGTCTTCTCTGTTCATACCATCATCGAGTAGTATTTATAACCAACCGGAACTCAGTGAAGAAGCTGAAATGACGGTGTTTTTTCTGTTGGATCCACAGGAAGGCCATGGCTGCAAGACTGGTGCCAAGGTCCCTCCTTTACGGGTGTTTGATAGCTCCACGCTTGGTGGTTGCTGAAGCAAAACTCCTATCAGGACTGGGGCTGCAGTAAAATAAACCATGCATTTGGAATAACTTGGATGCAAAGTACTTTTGTTTCATTGATGCTTTGGAATGAGATTCACCAAACAGTATCTCCAGGTTTTAAATTGTCCACATCTACATTCTGAACTGTACGAGCCAGCTCTCCAGCTAGCAGTATAAGGGAGTTATGATCTTTGAGGACCAGAAAATGACACACAGACTGAGCTGAGCTTGGGCTTTACTGTGTGACTCAAGTACCTTAATGAGGTTTGGCACCTACAGCCAGGACACTCCCAGGAAGAATGGAGATCTGCTTCGGCAGGGCACGGATGTTTCCAGTTTTCCTCTGCAGGAGACCAGCTCCGATTTAGGCCATGAAGTAACTCGTTGCTCCTTACATGCATTGGGAACCATCAGCTCTTTAACCAGTCTTTAGGATTTAGATAAGCATTTCAGGATCAGGAGCAGAATACAAGACATACCTTTACTTGAGTACATTCTCTTGCAGACTATGCAATGTAAGAGCTCAGGACAAAAAAACCTTCAGACATTATACAGGATGAACTGCTCCTTTAGCAAGCTAAAAGCCATAAAGAAGTTGTAACTTGCCTTTGCACACGTAGCTCTGTTTATTTTAGTAAGTAAGTGATTGAACACTCAAAAAAAATAATTTAAGTCCATTCAGCAACATAAGCGTTGCCACTCCAAAATAAATTTTGAAGAAAAAATAAAATTTGGAATTAATTGTATTCCTAGTGTGTTGTTGTTAAAACACTGTCTATGAATTATTCATTTCTGCTAAGAAAGCACTACTTTACAAACGGGCTAAAAGCTCAGCAAAGAAAGAACACCACTAATCCAAATATTAAGCTTTTTCTGTAACATGCTTTGATCTCCAAAATCCATCTGAAGGAATCACTTCATGGAAGTTAAGAGCTTTTTTCTTTTTGACCTTAAGTGAATTTGATTCAAATATGCATTATGGCTCTTGAATCTTAAAGACCATTAGCTGTACATCTAGTGCACATCAGAAGCCTGGGAAATAATATCACGAGCTTATTTTGAATAAAAGCTTCAATGCGTTTCCTCACGCCAATATGCAAAGGGTTTTTTAAATCATACAAAGTTAAAAAAAAGGTCCTAATTCTTTCACTTTTGTTTGGTGGTGAGCATTACTGGCTATAGAAAACCTCGCTGAATTACTGGAGTCATACAAGTATTAAGGGACCTGTGGATACAAGATGGAGACAGAGGCATATACTAAATGATGAAAAATAGTTTTAGTGTTTTTTCTTCAATGGGATGTAATTACGTCACTAAAAGTAACTTCACCAGAGGATTTGTATTTAGTTACTTATCCATTTCTTAAGAATCCTGTAACTCACCAGTGCTTCGTTAGCTCTACGCACACCTCCTGTCTCTGGGGTCAATGTTTCCTACGACTGAATTCTGAGAGTTTGAATTAATTAATAAAATAATCCCTCAGGCATCTGTCCACTTGGTTTCCTAAACTGCATTTTTCACTTTTGAGTACCTTGAAAATAGCCGGCTTTGTTCAAAAAACCCAACACCCCAGGATTTTGAGAGTGTCCAAAAATCACCACTGAAGGGTTCAGCGCGGCTCGGGGCGATCCCTGTGCCCCTGCCTGGGGGCTGCGTAAGCCCTTCTGGGGCTGGGGGTTTCGTCTGCGCTGCATTGCTGAGGCATGGGGGGGAAAAGGGCACATGGGGACTCACCGCCAGCACCACACGTGTGCGAGCACTGTGACCAGGCCGACCACGCCGAGAGCCGGCAGTCCACCGTGCAGCCCACCATGCACCGACTGCTCGTCTGCACGGGCTTCTCCAGGCGAAGCTGTGAGATGACAAGGAAACACAGACGTCAGCCTCCCCAGGCCCCTCTGGCCACCGCTGGGCACCAGGTCAGGAAACCAAAAATTGGCAGTGACTCTGGTGGGATGCCAACATTGTTGCTTACAGTTTTCCCAAGGGTGAAATTGGTGAAAGCAGTTTCAGTGTTGAAGCATTTCATGTCTACCAATCCTGCGGTGTTTGGGTCTTACTCTGAAAGGACAATCCCAAACTTCTAGTAGGGCACAATCTCCCTGGTGGCCAGCTTTGTTGGTGCAGGGTCTACTCCAACCCCAAAACCTCCCGTTGGAGTCAAGGAGTGATACCACCCACCGACACCCCGGGGATGCTTTTGTTCCCCAAAGCACCCAACCGCCGTGCTCCCAGCACCGAACGCAACTTCTCCACCATCTACGGACAGTGTCTTGGTGCGGATCAGAAGGCACCGGCTTTCTAGCGACAAAATGAACCTCCAGGTGTTTCCCTGCCCCACGCATGCCATCCTCACCCGCTGGCAGAGCTGCATGCTGACGGCTGCCCCATCACTGCGCCAGCAGCTCAGGAGACGTCGCCGTTCTCCGTGCCCGCAGGTGGCATTGGCATCCAGCTGGCACCCACTCCAGCCTGCGGACACAAAGCAAAGGATGCAGCGCTGCAGGTCATGGCCATCATTCTGGTTTTACATCTTTTTACTCCACACATGGGCTACCTTCCCCTAATGCAGTGCTTCCCCACGTCAGGGCATCCCAAACCCAAGGACAACCCACGCAAAAGAAAGCTGCTCTTGAAACCAAGCAAGTCTCGGAGGATAAACCTCTCGCTTCGCACTCAGATATCCCCTTAAAGAAAACCGTACATCAGAGTGTGCGGAAAACTGTTAAACACTGATAAAGTGTATCAGTTCAACCCAGTTGGCACATTTAGAAGACAGAATTGTCTGAAGCAAAATTTCACTTTGATAAAGGAACTAGGAAAGTTTCTGAAGGGTAACTCTGATTTAACCTATTTCTTGCCTGAAGGCAAAGCTTTCCATTATTTATAACTAAGCTTTAATATTCGTGAAATAAAAACAGTATTTCTAGGAGAAGAAAATTCATATCTTATTACTTGTCTGAAATTATGATGGTCAGAATACAACTGAACGAAAATAAGCCTTAAAACACCATTTAAAATAAACAAAAAAGCATAACACAAACAACAAAAATTTCCATACACCACCAATGAATAGGAAGCATATGAGAAGAAAACCTATTACTTTGTGTCTTCCACCTCTGATAAACATGAACACATAAATGTTCTGCATTTCTGAAATGCGATGATAAAAAAGGCATCGTCCTGCTGCCTGTGTGTTTTTAGGGGTTTTTATTTCAAACAGGCTGAGTTTATATTCAGATATAACATTTTCTCCTGCTTTGTTCTCTCTTCCCACCAGCCCCCAAATTCCTCTTAGATCTCCTCTCTTCTCTCTGCCTTTCTCATTTATCTGAGCTGGTCAAAACAAAAGGAATTTTTCCTTTTTTTTTTTTGTTAGTTTGTTTGCAACAGATCTAATTGCTTCTAGGGTCCTAAATAATGCATTTCTTTCTGAATATTCTATGCCAACCTATACTGCCCATATTGCTTTCAAACCAGGCTTTTGTTGGTATTATTGGTTTCCCTGGAATCATACAGATGATACTCTGTTAACTGGAATTTCGTAATTAATTCTGTTGATAATCCATCAAATAGAAGAGATCCCATTTAACTTGTTTTATTTCCAGTGTATCTGAAATGACAACTTAAATACAAAAATTGTGTATCTGTCCAGTAACCTGTAAAACATAGGCATGTAATTAACTTGACTGAAATCAGTGATGTCTTCATGTAACTCTTAATGTCAAGGCTTTAACCAACACCACAAGCAAACATAACTAAAAACACAACTGAAGAAAGCCTTTAAGGAGTTGAATCTTTAATGCAAAGATATTTGGAAAAGCAGAATGTCAATTTAATATACTTTGTAATTGGTATCACTTCCTGCTAATAGTATATTGGAAAGTTACACCTACCTGTTAGATTGTACTCATATTGGAAGCAGTTTTGGTTAAGAACACATGGCTTCATTTGTGACTCTTCGGGGCAGGGCTTTGTATTGACAGAAGACCTTAGCACTTGTCGAGTCCGGGTTTGCATAATATTCGGATCACACACCTATACACAAAAGTGATGGACAGTACAAGAGACCCTAGGAAATCATACAGACACCAACTCCCTGGGGTTGTTACATGCACATCCACGGCCATACCGAGGTACGATATCATCGCGCTTCTGTTCTAAAGATACCTAAAAGCATATGAAGGAAAAGAAATGTGGTTCAAAGGTAAGAATCCAGTATTACTAAAAGTCATTTTTTGTCCACCCTGATTTGGCTATTTTAGGCACTCCTATACTACTTATTCCCATATTTTTTTGTAAGGATCCTTGGGGACAATGGGATAAAGACCATGCCATTTTGCTGTGCTCTCATCTCCACCTCTTCCCAAGACTTTCAGTAAAATGCCATGGTACTGAATAATGGAACAGGATTTCTGGTACAATTAATGTGTTTTTAAGTAATAACCGATGTTACAGCAAAGCTTTCATTACTAGGACAGACATTTGTAATTGTAAATCAGTTATAATGCTGACAAGATGGGGTGACTTTTCAAAGTATGTGATACAAATACTGATGTCCGACTGCCTATAAACCAGGATTTGCCCGTTTACATTTTCATGTGAATATGAACCAGCTGAGGCTGGTTTTCATTTGTGTTCGTACCTCACAGGCACGAAAATGATTTGTTTTTAGCAGCCTTCAATCCTCACTCTCTCAGCATTGTGGCATGGGGCTGCTTTGCCTTCTGTTTCGCGGCAGACTTAGCAATAGTGACTAAATGTTTTCTGCCTTCCAGGAAACATCCCTTTTACGTAGAGGACATCTCATCCCCACGAATCCCTTCCTGCAGCCTCCTGCTTACCCCTCCTCCACAGCGCAGGACAGCTCTTCTCTTTCGATGTCACACGGAGGCGTCACCCCGCTTGGCCCGTGCACTTCTTAAGGTTTTTTCCTTGGTTTTCTTAATTCGGGGCTATAGCATAAGCACTGGCTGGGCCACGGGGAACGTGGCGGTGTCCCCACCCCGGCTGTCACCTCCACATCTCATGCCAAGGGGAACTATTTCAGGAGGAAGGAGTCGCAGCACCAAAGATTACATGCCTGTGACAGCGGGCAAGGCTAAGGTGAAGAGCACTAAGGATTGCTGCTTTGCCTCATTAAATGATATCACAGAAAAGCCTAAATAAGCTTATTCTGAAGCCAGGGTGATTACGGGAATACGTAATAGCCATAGCTGGGACAGAAAAGCAGCCCCAGGGGCAGGGGCTCTGACCCCCTGAAACTCAGCAGTTTGTCCGCAATCCAGTACAGCGGGAACGGGTGCGTGGAAGTGATCCCAGCAAACCTAATGGAGATAAATCCCTATTAAAGGTATTCACAGCCATTTACTGCATAAGGTGATCTATTTAATTCCTAACAGTCTCTCATTAGGACTAAAGATTGCTCAGGAACAGCAAAGAAAACCAAAAAAACAATGCATGTACAAATACATTTTCATAAATGCTTGGAAATTTAAAACATGATTTTTCTATAGAGCACTTTAATTACAAAAAAATAACTAACCATTTAAAACCACAGGCTTCTTATCATGCAACGAACTGCCTGCAAACACTGAACCCTGCATGGGTGAAAATATGGGTAATTCCTGTATTGTGAATATTAAAGAGAAAAGTAATGACATTGCAGCATAAATCTAGATCTCAGATGCTACAAACTGGATTAAGTTGCACAGATGATAGCATAACTAAACAGAATAAAATCAGGGCAAATAGGAAAAAAGTATGGTCCAGTCTTAAAATACGTTGTCAGGGCTCATATTCCTTGTGCTGACACTATGTGCAGAAAATTCTATTATGTTCTTATTGCTGACACACATCTTGTCAAACAATTTTAAATGGTAATCTTATTTGAATAGCCAGTCACCTAAAATACCCAATTGTTCTTAATTATCTGAAAATTAAACCTATGCTAAGTGTTTACTACCTTAGTTTACTGCCTTTTCCACAACTAATCTGATTGTTCATCCTCACAACTGAGACTAATAACTTAAACCATTTGCTCATAAAACAAAATAAATAAAAAAATCAAAGAAGGTATCTCAGTACCTACTCCTAATTAATGTTTCTCTACATTATATTACCAAAGGAAAAGAAAGAAATCAATGAATGAGGTGAAAGTTCAGTCTGCCATCTCTGAAATACCTGCTTCTGCTCCCTTCAAAATAAGAACCTGCAGACAGAAAACATGCATCATTGGTACATAAGTAACTTCTTTTAATAAAATAGCATTTTTTTCCCTCCCCCGTCTAGTGTGCACCCCATCGTGCTCGATTACAGGTCAAAACCTTCAGTTTGCCAGGATCCAAACAGCAGACGGGTTTACTGCAGCTCTGAGGCTGGAGTTCTCAGTGCGCTGATGAGCCATGTTGTTCAGAAGGCAGAGCTGATGCGATAAGCTCCCCACTTTTACTAGTTTTGAATAATAAAGAATCTCTGTAGGAAAAGTCTTCATTTAATCAAGCTGAGTACACGGGATACATGCAAAAATTCAAAGTCGGCTAACTGTAACTAATATCCTGTAATATTATGTGCTGAATTTCTCTTTACGTCAATTGAGAAGTCAATTTAGTTTTCTAATTGATTTTCTGGCCTTACTCTTTCAAGTTAACTATGTAAAAAATTGAGCCAAATATATATGGAGCTGAATAAGCATCAGGAGGGAATGACTTGCAAAGGAAAAGATGAAAACTGGGATTTTCAAAGGAGCAAGAGGGATCAGAGTATCCAGCTGCTGTGGCATCTCTAAGGGCTTGGGTGCACAGCTCCTGCAGCACCCCTCCAAAATCCCAGGCTGGAAAAAATAAATATTTACTATGTGGCAAAGGTTGAGGAATGGCCTGGCGGACTCTAAGTCGTTAGGGGGTGTGAACAGTGAGAGGTAAAGAAGAGGGATTGTTTCCAGTGGGGAGATGCTGAGGGTATTAACAAGCAATAAAGAGGAGATGTGTGTAAGCTGCATAGCAGGAGGAAGATACTGTGTCACCGCTGCCATCACTACCGATGATATGTATATAGTGCTGAGTTTGGATCTTAAAAAATACTGAGAGAAAACCCAGTCACCATCAATGGCAATTTTTTTAGGAGGTAGGACAAAACCAGCAGTCAGTAATATTGTAGAAAAGGTAGCAAAACATTGAAATATGACTTGAGTAATCAAAGTAAGAAATTATCGGATTTGGGCAAGATTATCAAAGTGGTTGATTCTGAGTATTCCAATAAATGAAGAAAATGACAAAAACAACTTGACTGTTCAAATACTCTTCCAGGTGAAATAGTGAAGGTGCCGTTCAGATATATGGATCAAGACTGGATCTGCTCTACCCCAGTATGAACCAGTTTCTTATCACAAGCATAAATGAATCTACAATTTTGGGGAGGTTAAATAAATAAAAACCATCGTGATTTAGCAACCCTTTACTATCTTCATTTCCAACTCCTCTTCCCACTAAGTGGATGATATACTTTCAAAGATGTTATTTTACTTCCTACTGTTCTACTGATAACTGCTACTTTTACTGATCATATATTAAGATTTTTAAAATTATTTTTATATTAAGTCAGCCATTACCTCCTGTAAGGTAATCACAACTGTTTTGTGCTCAGCATTGGCCAACACTTCTACAGTGGAAGTACAAGGTAAGAGGGAAAGGTGCAGCCGACAACACTCTTAACAGAAAGGCCAGTACATACAACAGAAGTGTTCAGTAGGGGGAGTTTAATTTTGACTTTTATTTTTGACATCTTCTCCTTATGGTCATGCTACTTCTTTTTATGCCTGTGGTGATAAATCCCGTAAATAGTTTTTATAGCTGGAGAATGTGGCATGTTAACAAGAGAGTAGAATTGGGCATAACAGCAAATCTCCTTATGCAGAAACTGAAGGTCAAGGTGATAGATTTAGATTGCAAAGATTTATTAAGAGAGATTTATATAGCGTCACAGCCAGGTGATGGTTGAACTGAGCGCAACGCAGAACCCCATGGAGGTGCTGAACCTCTCCGTACTGCCCATGTACAGAGCCTGCTCCTCCATGCATGGACCCAGATGGAGCAACTCTTGCACAGAGCTCACGTAGAGGAAATGGGAAAAGAAGGTGGGGTGAAATTCAGCCTCTCGCTTGGGTCTCAGTGCCAGGGACATCTCCAGCGAACTGGGGTGAGAGCAATTCTGGAGACCTTCACCTGATCCTTCCAGAAAAATGAGGCTCTGCTCTGCCAGAGGGCTGGTGCTACCAGGAAGGACTACCAGTGCTACCAGGAAGGACTACCAGTGCTACCAGGACCATCAAGTCATCCTTGATGCAGCTTGGGGACCATCAGAGTTTAGTGCCTGCTTGGCAAGTGGAAAACCTTTGTCCAATTTCTGCTTCTATTCTGGACAAATGAAACCCACTTCTGACACCACCCAGGCTAGAAATAGAGAAAAGATTTATGGATCAAAGAAGGACGATGAATATGGGTGCCAACTGGCCATAAATTTAAGAGAGGAAACAAGTCCTAAGAAATGGAGGTAGCTGTGATGCATGGAGGTAGAAGGTCAGAGGCCTGGAGAACTCTACATACCTTCAAGGTTAGGTGCCATCTCAGTTTGGCTGTTAAGTTTTACGGACTAAGTTGTTTGTTGGATTTAGTCCAGATTCCTCCTCAATGACTGTAAGCAATGGGGTGTGTAATTCAGGCGTGTGCTTCCTTTGGTATCAGTGAAAGGAATGGAATTAATTTCTGGATGGAAATAATAACGGGGACCTAACTCAGGTCACAGATTAATAGCCTACAGCAACAGGACCTCATACACAGACACAGTAAGTTTCTCTACGTGCATAACTATACTGTCTCAGCCTACTTTATTGTATTAAATCTCACCATTTCCATTATCCTTTTCTATGAAGTGTGAAAAAGCTGAGCTAGAGCCAGGGATGTATAGGCCAGATTATATAAACCACTACACAAATAAAATATTCCGAAGCAATGAGAGGTACCTAAAATGTTAAGGGAGGA